TGCTGTTAGCCTCTGCTGTTCGCCGCCGTTGATTTTGTATCTTTCTAGTTTCTTAATCAAACTGTCTTGTAGCACCAAGTCAAATGCCTTAGTCTGTTACATCAACACCATTATCTTTATCGTCCATACTTGTAATCTTATAAAAAAAAAAATCAAGTTAGATTAATAGTGTCTTTTCCATAAACCCATGTTGATTGGCATTAATTATAAATTGAGTCCCATGTCAGACATCCCATTATTTTGCCTGGGCTCGATGTCAAGTTGACAGGACTAAAATTACCCAGGTCATCCAAGTACTCTTAAAATATTAACACACTAGCTTTCTTCCAGTCTTATGGAACTTCCCCACTGTTTCAAGAATGTTGATTTTCAATAATTAGTAGCCCAAAGAACTCATTGGGTAGCTCTTGTAAGACTCTTGGATGCATTTTCTCCAAACTTGTTGACTTTAAACAAGTCTAGTTTTAGTAGTTGCTGTTTAACATTATCCTTGGGTAGTTTTTGATATCTCATGGCAATGAGGTCCACAGTTAATGATATATTATTTAAAGATTTTTTTCCTTTTATAGTGGTTGCCTTTGTTTCACCGAATGTCTGGTTATTATTATGGTGGAGTTGTAGTGAAGCCATAGTTAAGGTTGTGGGAGAGAATTGTGTTTAACCAGAAAAAAGGACGGTAAATGTTTTGTTCCGGGGAGAGGAGTGTAGGAGAGTCTCTTCCATTTTCTTTGCAGTTAGAATTTGTAGGGAAATAAGCAACTTTATTCCCAAAATATTTTAAAAACAGATGGGTTTGAAGTTGGGTCCCTGATTTTTCACTATTTCTCAAACACTTTTGCAAAGAGTATATACGGAGACTGTACACTGTACTTCCAGTGTTGATTACTGTATATCTATGGGGTACACAAATATCACTTTCCTATATGTTTCATTTTGGAATTTCTATGAAAAGATTTTAATCAATAGCGGATTTGAGTGTCATCAATTTTGAAAACACTGTAACTATAATGACCTTCTTTGCTAGGTAGCACTTTGTTCAAAAGAGCAAATTTGCCGGATTACAATGGTTGTATTTAATATTGATGCTTTTCCATAGGTAAATGCTTAATATAGCAGCTATGCTCACTATTGCAAAAAATGTAAGGCACTGTTTGCTTCTTATTTATCTCCAGTTTACATATGTTACTCAAAAACTAAGGTAATTCATACAGAAAAAACTTCATTTAAAGTTAATGTTCTGTTTTACTTGAGTAGCATTTCCTCAAATTTTGAAAAGCTAGTATATACACAGTCAGGGTCTACAATCATGCTGTTGCTACCTACAACAATCTTTTACTTATTATCCTCCTTCCACCTTAACACGCAAGACTTGATAAACTGCCGTGCAGCCTTAACACCAGCATATCATCAGAGTTTAAGGCCAGAAGGAACCACCAGATCATCTAGTCTGTTTGCCTGTATATCACAGTCCACTAAACATCATCCAGCAACCTCCATATTAAGCCCAACAACCAGAATAGATGAAAGTGTAGTACAAGCCTCAGAAGACTAAACTATTGTGTGCCACAGGCAGAGAACATGAAGGACCAAGGTGCACCAATGCCCAAGGCATTAGGCATGAGGAATTAGGCATGAGGCAGGCTCTGTCCCCTAAGGCATAAATGTAGCTGCCTGCCTGCCTATGTTCCTTCATTGCAACAAAGCAGTCTCATCTGCCAGTTCTTTCAGTATTCAGGGATGAAAATTATCCACCCTCCCAATTTGAGCAACTTAAGATCTAAATCTTCCGCCTGTCATGTGGTAATCTTTGCCTCTCTACGCATTTTCATCAGCCATCCTGCCTTAATCTGTGTGTTCTGTACTTTCACCTTTATTCAATATTGAGGCAAAGTATTCATTTAGTTTTAGGGCCATACTGAGATTATCTTTTATCTCTACCCCATCCACACTGCATAGTGGCCCTTCCTCATCCTTCCTTTTCTCTTTTTATTATAGAACTACAAACTAGAGTTGTAAAAGTTTTTAACTGATTAACCAGTTAACCAATAAGCACCAGTCTTACTGGTTTCGGTTAACAATTAAACTCCACTGCTGCACGGGGCAGCGGAGCCCCACGTAAAATGTGGGGGTGCTGCAGCACCCCCCGCACCTGTAGTTCCCTGCTTATGTGAAATCCTTAATGATTAACCATTTAACTGGTAGTAACTGTGTAACCTATTAAAATTATATTTTTAAACCCTGTTTACATTCCTACTACAAACCTCTTACTATTAATTTCCTTTGCAAGGTCTAGCTCAGCTTGATTTTAACAATTCTAAATTTATTCCTACATTTTTTCTGACCTCCAAGGCATATAGTTGTCTTTGATCGCTCCCATTTTCCTTTCCCTGTATGTTCTGTGTTTATTCCTAATATTCTTTATGAGGTGGTAATTGAAGTTAGGTGTGGAGCTCTTTCCTACAAGTGTATTCCCTTGTATGGGTTTGTAAATTCCCAGATAGTTTTTGCACCTTTGACTTAAAGAAATTCCAAGTGTTCTGAGTGCTAGTCCGTGAGCACTTTGGTCCCACTGACTTCTTGAATTAATTCCCTTTATTACTCAGTCTGCCCTTTTGAAACCAAAAATCCTAGTCACCAATCTTGTTTAGATTATCCTTCCACTGAATTTAAACTGAAGAAATTTGTGATCACTCAATCCAATCCTTTAGCTCGAGTGGTCGTCTTATGAACCTATAGGACCTGGGTTCAGACCCTGCTGATGCTATGTGGAGGAGTCAGTATGGTGCCACACACTAGAAAAAAGAAAATCCTTCTAAACAATCTAGAAATTACACAGAATTAAAGAATATTAGTGTTGGAGTGCTTGATCTTGCAAAGTTAGGAAACACCAGAATTAACATGGCCTGTGCAACTTTAATTTGCTCCTGGGTGGTGAAAACCTATTTTAAAAAATTAGAATTTGAGATTTAAATTTACTAGAATCTATGAGAGACAAGGTGGGTGCACTAATACTTTTTATTGGATCAACTTCTGTTGATGAGAGAGGCAAGCTTTTGAGCTACACCGAGCTGCTCTTCTTCAGTGATGGTATGTGTGACTTGGGGTGCTCAGGGCTGAGAGTCACCTTGTTACATTAGGTTTCAGAGTAGCAGCCGTGTTAGTCTGTATCCGCAAAAAGAAGAACAGGAGGACT